TTATTAAAACGTGAGTGTGCAAAAACAAAGAAGCGTTCTGAAAACGAAACTCCAAAATCGCGGAATTCGAACTCCCCCCTTCCAAACTACATAAACTACCTATTTATATGCCTTCCTGACACGTGTTTACCTAGTACCCACTATTACCAATTATTACATCATTCTACCATCCATGTTGCTGTTATTATGCGACGCGTCACAATATCACGTTCCTATCCCTATTGTTTCCACAACACTAGATACAAAGCCACCTCACATACTATCCTTGCATGTGCTCCCTCCTATGTAAAACATGTACATTATCAAATAAATATAATATACACTGTATTAAATTTAAAACTTACATTTTTATCACTAGGAGGCCCAAAATACGAAAGAGTAGGTTTTGGAACATAATCCTCACTTGGATACACAGCAATGTCTGGTGCAATCATTTTTCCATTTCCAGATGGACAATAGTAAATTATAAAATAAACGCGAAATATTAAAAAATAATTACGAGCAAAATATCAAACTGGAGGAAATTTACTTACATGGTTGACCCATAACACATATTGGAGGATCAAAGATAGCATCACCATTAGGAATTCTGAAATATTTTTGTAGCAGCGAAACAACAGATTCATGCTCTTTCTCAGCCATATAAATAATGAATACATCGCCGTTATCTCTTAATTGGAACTTGTATCCGAATGACTCACAGCGGTTAAGGAAAGCATTGTAGTGTTCAACTGAAACGTTTGAACCAATTTGAAGAGGCAACCGGCAATAAACTCAAGTTAACATTTAGCAAATGTTAAAATAACGTGCGTGATGTTTACACACCCATTTCATCAAATGGTTCGTCCGGTAATTGGGGAACCTTTAAACGTGCTATAGATTGGAAAGGCATTCAGAATTAAACTCGATTGGCGTAAAATTTACAACATGTAATCACATCTCGGAACATGATTATCGATTAAAAATTCGAACGAAAACCTGTAAACGAATCCGATAAGACCAAAAATTAAAACAATCAGAACAAGACTCCGGTGATAGGTAAAACCTAAGTGATATAATAGAGGCTTTGGATTATTTATAAATTAGAAAGGTGAGTAGGTAGACGAAATGTAAATACTACAGTATAAGTCCATCAAAAAATATGAAAAATCTTGGACCATAAAATCACAGGCCTATTATGATGATTCGAGGTATGAAAAGATAATCGGGATGCTGGCGAAGGCGACCACCAGATATGTGAACCAAAGAACAAAATATTGGGAATCAGGCATTTTAATAAAAAACTTACAAAAGTAATGTGGCAAGTTAGAATAAGAAGAGAAAAGTTGTTTTTGTAGAAAACTTGTGGTTTATATAAAATCCATCGTTATGTGAATCTAATATATTAATTGGATGAAATGACAAAGTTGTCAGAAAAGCGGGACTAGAATCTCGCGCAAAATTCATATATATAATGATACTTTAATATCTTATCCATTATATTATAAAAAATACACAATTCCGAAATCCCTTAAATTAACACAATCTTTTATTTAAACAGGTGTGAGCTCGAGCTCACAGGCGTAGTAATGTTACTATGCAAAATGCGGTACAGACATACTTATATACAGTGTGTATCAAAAATAATTGAACAGCTCATCACTTTACAAGATTTGATTTAGTTTCTCCAGTTTTGGTTAGACCAGGAAGGCGCACTAATAAAAACCATCTGTTTGATAAGTGGTCAAATGCCGCCATTGTTTTCTTGCTTATTTTAATTGTTCGTTTTTAAAACATTAACCTGCAAAATAACATCTTCCAAGCTTCAACTACAGCGTGAAACTATTTTATATTATTGAAATGAGGGGGTATGTGAGGTAGCTAATCTACAGCACCAGACAAATATATCATGCATCACTATTTATAACATCATTAAAAAAATTAAAAAAACAGGAGAATAGAGCATATAGGTAAAAATAGACAGCTGCGAAGCATTATAGGACAATTTTCAAAAATAATAGGTCAATACATTTGATGTGATAACTCACTTTCATTGAGGACTTTGGTGATCAAACTAGAAAGGGACAGGTTAAATGTTTCTATAATGACTATTCAAAGGTATTTAATTAGGCTTGGATATCAAAAAAAGCTTCCTTTAGTGACACCAATGCTTAGTGAAAAACAAAAAAAAAATTAGGTGGAGTGGGCACATAAACATATTGATGACAACTGGGAAAAAACTATTTTTACTGATAAAACGGCATTCTGTTTATTCTGTAATATAATAAAACGATGGTACAAAGGTGTACAACCTACACATATTATATCAAAGGATCGAAAAAACTTTTTGCTTAGTATGGTTTCTGCATGGAGAGAAAAACATCATTATTTTGCTTTGATAATATAATGAATGGTAAATTCTACATAGATATTCTTCGTATACACTTACCCAAAATCAAGAGAATGCTTGGAAACAACTGGCGTTTCCAACAGGATAACAACCCCAAGCATACTTGCAAAATTGCTCAAGCTTTCATTGCTGAGCATATTCCTGATATTATTGACTGGCCCTCAAATAGTCTGGACTTGAACTCTATCGAAAATTTGTGAGCCGTTGTGAAAGGTAACATGAAAAAATGTATGCCGCAAAATTTAAGCCAATTATCACAATTTATGGAGAATAAGTGTGAAAAGATTTCAAGATCTTGCCTAATCAGATTGGTGACATCAATGAGGACCCGTTATGAAATGGTTATTACCAATAACGGTGAAAGAATATCATACTAAATTTTTTTTTTTAAACATGTGTCACTTGGCTTCAAAACGACATATTATTTGTCTATTTTGGTTCACAGGTTAATGTGCAATAATAAATTTTTCATGTTCAATTATTTTTGATATATACTGTATATAATCTAGTAGATATAAGAGCAATAAATAATTTAGTTTATATAATTCCAAGATTTGGTAAAAGTAATGAATATTTATTAAATAATTATTATTACTTCGAAGAATTTTAAATTTTTTTGAAATAAAAATTTCTGAAGTTTTTTTATTTTTAAAAATTCTATATTAAAAATTTTTAAAAACCTTTGAAAATTTTTTTTGGGTGGAGATCTTCACCAAAAAAATTTCCTGATGAAAGAACAATTGAATAGAGAATTTCTGGAATTCAAACAAACAATCACAAAAATTAAAAATAAATATTTAAAAGAGATCCCAGAGACTGAATCATACACTTTCTACCTGGCCTGCCAAACATCACAAAAGCTAATAAAGTCTTGAAAGAAAACAACATCGACTTGTCTCTTCTACTTATTGATGATCCACACCTAAATAACAATATTAAAACTTTTGGTAATCACTTCTACTTCAAAAAACTTCCATCCAAATATACAGTATAATTGAACCTGAGTTACTTGAACTAGCACTGGCTCTCCTTTCCAACTTGATTTAATGACAAATACAATCCAGACCAACTCTCAACATTCCTTAAACAATACATACACTTCTCTTAAAAATCTCATAAATATTATCACTCTTAACATCAGAGACCTTACATAAAGAGAAAAACTCAATAAACTCATCAAAGCAATCAAAAGCAAAAGAAGTATTCTATGCGTCACAGAAATGAAAGCTTCAATACTCAATCTCCTACCAAAAATATCAAACAGCAATACAATTATCTCAAGTTACCCAAGTATCTCAACAACCAATGATGCTTGCATCATCATAACCAGAGCAATAGCCACACATATATTCAAAACTTTCTTAACAAATGAGTACTGGTGCACAGCACACCTCAAGTTCAAGTCCAAAGTTGACATCATAATAATATCCTGCTACCTACCACATGAGAGAATATCAAGGAAGACAGCAGTATCATCACTGAGAAGCTTTATTCAACAGCACCACAAAAAACACATTATAATCGCAAAGGATTTCAACTCCTATCCTAAATCAGCCCTCTCAATAAATATACATTTCACTTATTTCAAAAGAAATATATACAATGTTAGCATCAAATTTGTAGTAGGGGGCATAACATGACATGTGGGGCCTGGCGCGGTGCCACATGGGGCATCAATCATGCATCAATTATGCATGATTGATGGGCGCAAAGCTTGTCAAAGTTTAGTACTTTTGCATAACGCGACGATAGATTTAGAGACGTGTCACAGTCATATAAATAGCAGTAATATTCAGATGTAAAAAGGAGAGACAGAAGCAATTAATAAAATACTACTTTTGCGAAATCCAACTGCTTGTACCAGTGCAACGATAATTAATAAACTTACCTTATTTGTCTTTTAGTCATCCTAGAGAGGATCTGCCGCCCTATAGTTTGACAGGGGAGATCAGAAGAGGAGACTAATTAAACCAAGGGAAAGATTAAGATAATTATCACTACACGTATCTTTGGTATCACCAGTGACACAGACCCACTCACTCAACATAGCACAAGTCTTGGTCCAGATTGGCGACAGACTCGCTGTTAAAGATAACAAGTATCTTATCAATTTTGTAGATGTTGCAAGGGCCACGAACAAAAAATACTCCTATACACATGTAACATTTACCAGTGCTTCAAAAATTGATCAAATCTGAATCACCAGAAATCTTGCTAGCAAAATTCTTTGCTACAAAGTTTAAGAACAACAGGTTATACCAACAGATTATAAACAAATAGATATAGTACTAGATTGGTTTGAATACAAGCCAAGCAGAATATTCTTCTTAACAAAGACCTATTAGTTTCAAAAAGTGAGCAAAGAACAGACACAAGCATTGCAAGAAGAAATAGAACTACACTGTACTGCTATAACCAACCTATCCTGGGAGTTACTAAACACAATTATCAAAAATGTCATAAATAACAACATATCAAGAAGAAACCAAACTATTGCAATGAAAAAGCTGAATTCTTTAAAACACTATGAGAATGTAATCAAATCTCTCAAAAAAGCTATCAATCTAATAATGGCAAACAAAAAACTTAACAAACTTTATCTGGTTGCAGCCAGTGCATATAAAGTCTTATTTAACAAACTACCATTACCCATCTTCCTTAGAAAAACCTTCAAAATCCTTTTAAAAGAAAAGGTCACCAAGGCCAACAAAATCATTCTTAATGAATTTCAAAAGAACATTTAAGAAAACTATATCAGATTTTGGTCCAAGCCTAAAAATGCACTCAAGAAGGCTTCTGGAAACCTCAAGCCAGCACTGGATCTCTCAATTCTGTTTGATAAAGGCCAACTCCAAGATGACCCAGACAAACTTGTAGAAATCATTACCAATCACTTTAAAAATACTCTAGCAGCAAGTCAATTCATTCTAAATAACAAATGACAACAACCTGCCTAAAAAAAACCTCTCAGATAAAGCATTTGAAAGCATTCACAAAGAAATTACAGTGGAAGAAATCAATCAAGCACTTATAGATCTTTCCAACCAGAAAGCTCCAGGATTAACATATATTCCATACAAAGCTTGAACCAATATTGGAGTTATTGCAAAACAAAAACTCAAAAATCTTTTCATTAAAGAATTATCAAATAATCAAATTCCAAAGTTTTGAAAACAGTCAGCAATTACTTTATTACCCAAAAAAATCATCTGGTCACATAAACTGGCTGATACATGTCCTATCTTCCTTCTAGAAACAAGCAGAAAGATATTTACAAAGATATTAAACAACAGGCTATTGATTATTATTTCAAAGCACAACATTCTATCAGGATATAACTTTACCAGATTGAAAAACCAAAGCACAATGGAACCAATCTCAAACCCACTCTCAGAAATTAAGACAACAAACAACCTTAATAAAGAAATCTGGATGGCATCATTTGATATTTGACTTAATAAATTTTTCCAACTTGGAACTAACAATGAAAGAATTAAAATTCCAGACCAAATCATTCAATTAATCCTCGATCTACTCAGAAAAAAGAAACTCAAAATTACTACATACTATAAACTTACAGATCCACTCGAAATCAACAAGAGAATCGATCAAGGAGAAACTCTTGCACCACTGTTATGAACCATCTTCTATGACCCAATGGTTTGTACAGTCATCAAAAATTCCACTAATAGATCAACCATCCTAGTATACATGAATAACATTGCAATTATCAGCAAAAACATGTGTACCCTATAAAGTATCACTAATACTTTTTGCTTCTTCCTGATCCTGAACTCAATCAAATGTAACAAAAGTAAAACAGAACTTATCACAAATTTGAAATCCAGAAATAACTGAAGGAAGCAAGCTTTCACAGTTGAAGATACACTAGTTCTATCCAAATCAT